CATCATTGAAGTACATCGTGCTAAAGAAATAGTCCAATGATGAAAAAAGAAGGACAAATAGTTCTTAGACAAACAGAAAAAGAAGATGACATTTAGAATTTGTTCGTGAAATATCTCGATAAATAGTTGTTTGTTCACATTTTCATTAACAAATTCGTGTTTCTGAGACAAAAATATGTGAGTACCGAAAACATTTTTCGAGAAAAAGAACCATCGCATGATAAGTGCAAAATTACCCTTATTAGCATTAGTGAGTTCATCTTCATCTTTATTCGCGGTCGCCAAGGTCATTAGATGACGTTGCGATGACATCAAGAACTACGGGAAAACATCCTAAGAGTGTGCTTGGCATAACAAAAAGCACCTATAGTTGCGTTTGATTTGTTCCATTCTGGTAGTGGTGGTAAGAACAGAATGACGTTCATAAATAAAACGGGAAACTTCATGACCTTGCATGAGAATATTGACATATATTTATAGATGGTAGAGGTTATATTTATAAAATTATATTGGGGCTCCGAATAATTTCAAAATCATAATACTAGAGTTTAGAGTTACAAATGATGACAATGAATCAACGCATATTTGGAGCAGTGATTGTGGTGATTGGACAAACTTCTCTGAGATCGAGAGAATTTTCATCTGGGAATAAACATATCAAACATGTCTTACTTGAAAGAATCATAAACTTGTGAATCTCACGATAAAAATGCCTTCTACTTTCAAAAAGTTTCGTTTTTTGTCAATCTAATTTGATTTTTTAACTTTCAACAGTCATTCCACGTCATTGTAGTGAAACGGAATGAAAAGTAGTAGAATCGAAAATGTTGTAAACAAAACGACATATTTGAGTGATTCTGGTGGCAGAATCGGATAAATAAAACGCAACTTATAATAGTCCCTCTAGTTATGGCTATGTTCCGAATTCAACTGTCAGCATTGTCAGTAGCGCCACTGACTGCTGTTCCGAAATAGTTCAGTAGTGAGCTGTCACTATTAAGGATATTAATCACAATTTATTTTGTTGATAATTCTGTTTGAAATAAATCAATTCGTACGCGGACCAGTAACTAATTATTTCAGAAGGGGATTTCATGATGGCAAAAAGATGATAAATCGAGAAAACCAGCTTCGAGATTTAAAGAGTTGAGTGTATAAATGACTTGATTTGAATAACTTTCTTTTATAATCATAAATTAATTAATCTCGGTAATGTAGCGAACTATAATATTTTCATGTCGTAAAAATATGTTATTCTCCTATTTGACAGATAACTGATTTCACACTACCTTTTAATGGTCATTAATTTCAACAGAATGGATAGTATGCCTGCTTTCGAGAACTGTCACCTTCAATCAAAATTTCAACTTCTGAACAAATAATCAGTATATTCAGTACTCACAGTTTCATTCGAAACATCGCCTATGTATTTCCTGAGATGTTTATGAGAATATAAGTTCTTACTCAAGGCTGGTTGCCATTATAAGATTCTTGATGAAATCCGTAACAGGCGCTGATATCGTCATATTTTCAATGGCCATCGGACCAAATAACGACTGCATGTCATTTCTACTCATGACAAAAAAATATAGAAATATAAGTAGGTTCATTTTTGATAGTGTTCTATAAAATTCTGATAAGTAATTGCGTTTCTATTTCCATTTTAAAGAGAATTCGTACAGCGACATCTATCGAAATAAGATGTAACAAGAAACTTATATTGCGAGTTTCAACTGTTTATTGCCGTTAAGTTTGGGCAAAACAAAAGCGCATCAGAGCAAACAACATATAAACACCTCAGTGTTTCCACTAGAATTTTGTATCCATATCGAATCGACTCGTGGCATTCTGGTTGCACTAAAGACTAAAAAACGTCAATGTCATTAATGGTCAAGTCACTGAATAGCAAAAAATCTGAAGCGTATCTCATATACAGTAATGCATTTGCGCCTTCGAAGTGCTCACCTGATATTAGGTTAGATAATTGTTATTTTCATTTCATCATCTGAATATTCCGGGACTTAGGAGTCCCACAAGACGTATTCTACTGATTAGGTAATATCCAAGATACCGACGTATAGAGTTTCATGTCTGATTGTTGGATAATTTGTGTCCGATGGCCTCCTAATAGGATCTAATTTATATTTAATTAACATTTAATTTAATTTAACAGCTCTATTACCCATAAGAAGTGGGCTAATTTAAATGAATAAGTTGAATGGGAGTTTACATGAACGCATCTGAGTGAAAAGAAGACTTGTACTCTAGAGATGAGTTGAAATTGAATATAAATTGAATATGAGGAACACATAACAAGTGTTGAAATGAGGGTCTGGTCGTTACCCCCTGCGCGCAGCATGAAATTATGGTTGTGCAGTAAACAAAACTCTACTGTGCCTTCACCTTCCGTTATCATTCCGTCAACGTTTCTCCCATGCTTCTCCATAAGGGATATTGGCGGCATTGTTGCCAATACGTGTAAAGATAGCTCGGTAGCCCTCCAAAACATGCTGACCATTTACTTTAGTCATTTTCGGACTCAAAAGTAAAAAATAATATCTCACTCCCATATTCATTAATTTACATATAAAAAATATATTTGGGAAGCTAATCGACAGAGTAAGTCAATAGTGTGTTCTCCTTCGATATTAGCCTAACCAACAGATTCGAATACAACAGCTATAGGGTTTCATGAAAACTATCACATAAAATCATTTTCCTATTCATAGGCTGTTCGAATTCCAAGATATCGGCTGATCATCAGTTTGTTCAAGAGGGGCACCATGCATATTATTGCATTTTCAGATTCTCCTTGGGGAGCTGATTTCATCAATACATGATTACAGGGATATAGGGTGTTCAAAATCGAGATTTTTCAAATTTAGGATTTATTTGTGTCGAAACTATTTATTATTGGTCAAAACGGCTCACATGTCACTATCTCAACTCTCGATTTACTGACATTTATTTGGAACAGATACAGGGTGATCAGAATTCTGAATCTTGAACCATCCTGTATTCGTTTCAATTGAATGTCAGTAGATAGTGAATCAAGAGTAAAGATGAAAACATGAGAGCCGTTTTGTTCAATAATGAAAATGTTCATTTTACTTGATTCTTTGGGATTTTCTCCTCGTTTCTATAGAAAAATGTGTTGAACGCAGTGACATTTTGGGGGAAATCATCTGATTTGTCCCTCTACAAATATATTGAAATAATACGAATACTTTTATTTTATAGAAACGAGGAGAGAAAATCCCAAAGAATCGAGTAAAATGAATGTACCACCTCCTTGATTAACCTACAGACAGTATGAAAATGTTCGACACAAAAAATCTTGAAATTGAATAATCTTGTTTTTGAACACCCTATATCCCTGTGATCATTTTCGCTAAATCCCAAGTAAGGTGCATTGATTAAATCGGCTCTTCATGGAGAACCTGAAATTGTAATGATTTACAGGGTGTTCGCGATCGATAACCCTTAAGTGGTGTTGGAAAATGGACTGTATAATAATTTGATTAAAGCGGGGCACTAAACGGACTTACCCAATAGGCCTCTCATGTGGTAGGTGGTTAGCTGAAGGTTGTCTATGGAGGTGGTCTCTCCAGGTGATGAAAGGGCCCTTTCTGGAATAAGTCTGCCTATCGCCTTGGTTTCACTTACACATGCACAAGTCGCGCACTTAGATGTTCCCAAAATTGTCACTTGAGTTAGGTTAGCGGTAATAATTATCAGAGGAACCTTGTCTTGCAGTAATGGATCTTATTAAAATTGTTCTAAAATTGTTCTATCCGTCATTCGGTTGCCCCCTTACGAGCAACCCTCAGAAGTCTTCGAAAGACTTGTGCGAGCAAGGAATGACGGGGGCCTTACCTTTTAACGTGTGATCCCAAACACTTTCTTAGGCCATCAGAAAAAGTCTGCGTTCGTGGGCCTCGAACCCACGATCGATACCTCCACGTGAATCGATATTGAAGCATCGAAGCACTGAGGTACGCCGGCCTCTTATCAGTCTTAAAAATTCTAAATGAATACCGGTACTTCTTGATTTTTTTATCGGTAACGTCCGAGGCCTGACGATTGACTATCAGGCGGGGGCGTGCGCCGTTTAGTGCCTTCATAGCGCGAAAATAAATTTGAATTGAAAATAAATAATTCACTATATCAACCACTTATAAGTATTGACGTAACACAGGGTGTCCCATTCAAATCATCATCAGCCGTTATCTTGAAATTCGAACACCATTGATATGAAAACAATCATGGGTAATAGTTCTAATGGAACCCTATAACTGTTGTTTTAGAATTTTTTCTACATTCCTGACGGTTGGGCGAATATCGAAGGAGAACACACTATTGACTCACCCGTTATACTGGTTTCATTGGATATACTATTACCGAATAAAAAAATCAGTAATAATTATCTCACCTTCTCATCGTCTATTATAGAAAATTTGAGTATGTGAAGCTTTATCTGCCAACTTTCGTTACGTTGCAATTCAATGAAAAGTTTTGACAGCAGTTGGGGAGACAGTAATTGAAACATATCTCTATGACAGACCAACAAATTGTGTTGTTGGTTACATAATAGTAGCCCCAATAATTGTCGACAACCATACAATTCGGTTGATACCATGCACATCTGCAATAATATATTTACTTATGTTCTTGAATGACATGAAACCTATAATATTTGAATGTGTTGATGACGCTAAGATCAGAATTACTTTGATGTTCAAATAGTTTATAGATGATATTCTACTCGCGCATAATAACTATTACCTACATAGATAATTACAACACTTGCCTTCTGCTGTTACTGCAATTTTCACATCAATATGCCCTTGAGATGTTTTAAATTTTGAATAATTCCCACATGTACGTTTTGTATGTGATTTTACATATGACTCCACTATATGTTGCAACCTATACAATTTACATATTTATAATTACTCTGATGCAGAGGATGAATAAATTATTGATGTATATCTTAACAGGAAAAGGATTCGTACGGTAACGAGGTGTCCCGACTGGCGCGCCCTCTTCCCGTTGAATACTTGTTGGTCGACGTGCCAGCCTCGACGCCTGTAGCGCCGCAGCGCACCTTCAACAGTGATCCCAATAAGCAGCCTTTTCCTGTCGAGAACCGCTTCATCGACGGCCACATCCAGGACTTCAACGCCCTCTCTACTTACCTGTCACAGTTTGGAGTCGGCGACTTTCACACCGCTATCAATGACTTCCACCTCATCCTGTATATAGGTAAGTGTATAGTTTTTTCTGTAAATTTGTTTAGCAAGATAAAATAATTACAGCAGAAACTGTGGCAGAACAACATCATCCATCTACAGAATAATACCTATCTTACCAGAAAGAAACAAATATTGAACGACAAAGTAATACATTGTCTGACGAAGTTATGAGATTTCTCAACTAATTGACTGTATTTTCAGAATTTTTTAGGTCTAAATAAGTACAAAATTAACACCTTTCACAGGTCCCTATTAGCTGACAATTAAGTAAACTTTTCAATTTATCATAATTGATGTCCAATAGAATAGAAAAGAATATATATTTATTCATCTTGATAAAAATACAAAGTACAAAAGGTAAGTCACAAAAAATTGTTTTGTACCCAAATACTGCATTGAAATAAAAAATATTGTTACGACCCTGGCGATCAATCCCAGCTACCTGCTACGGAAGTAAATAAACCGTATTTCTTGGAATAGAAATGAAGTGGATCGACGGCTATTGAGATGACTCGAGAAGATTATCGACCTGTTCACGATGTTTCGAGTGGAATCTAGACGTTTTATTAGGTAGTATAAATAGTTGTTGTTAGGGACAGGAAGGAAAGTCTTTATTTGGAAGCGTTATAATAACGATCGAAGAAATGTTGTGAATCGGAAGTGTTTAGTACGAGTATTGTTATTATTGTATAGTAGTGTTCAGAATAAATCGTTTTAAGTGTTAAATTATTACGGACCCAGAGTAAAAATCGTAACAGTGGTGTCAGAAGTGTGGATTTTCGAGGACATTTGAATACGTATGGTGAATACAAGGAGTACGTCAGACGACACGATGGAAGACATTATAAAATTCATGAAAAATCAGTTCGCAGAACTAGAGACACGACGACAGGAAGATGAGAAACGTCGTCAAGAAGAGTTACAGAAAATTCTAGAACATCAAGAAAAAGAACGAGAACATCAAGAAAAAGAACGAGAACATCAGAAAATCTTCTTCGAACAAATTCTGCATAAAACTGATAAGCAAATGGATGAGTTAAAGACAGATGTCACCAGAATTGATGACAAGCTTAACCAGGAAGTTTCAAGAATAGATTCCATGCTCCATGCAATCGAAAGAAATGTAGCGAATCAGATCACCTCGCTACGAAGTCAAGATCGCCGTGACAGAGTTGCCACATCGGGTTCTTCCGTGAAACCACCAACTTTTGATGGACAGTCGCCTTGGTCTATGTATCGCCGACAATTTGAGGCTGCAGCAAGTGCAAATGGGTGGAGTGACGAGGAAAAAGCTACTGCACTCATAGTAGCTCTGAGAGGACCAGCTTTGGGGATGTTACAGTCGATCCCAGTTGAACAACAAAACCCCTTCGGAGATTTAGTGGCTGCGCTAGAACTCAGGTATGGTGACCAACATCGAGAACAGCTTTACCGGGCTCAGATGAAAAATCGTGTGCAGAAGTCTGGAGAGATCCTACAGGACTTCGAAGCAGATGTGAGAAGACTGACTCAATTAGCCTACCCAGAGGCACCAGAGGACTTCAAAGAACAACTGGCGGTGCAGGTATTCATCGACGGGCTGAGAGACTCAGAAATACAGAAGACTCTGAGGCTTACACACTTTAAGAGGAGTGGTGAAGCCCTAGTAAGATCTCTGGAGGTAGAAGCGGCCTTCAACACCTCTAGGCCAAAAGTGAGAGCTTTGTCCATCGAGGAGCCTTTCGAAGACGTGGACCCAGTGGCGAAAATGTTGAGAAAAGTGCTTGAGGAACTCAATTAACCAGCGAAATAGATCCTGCTATCGCTGTGGCAGAACTGGACACCTGATAAGGGACTGTAAGGTGAGAGTACCACCACGATCTTCTTCACCTGCAAGGACGCCATCACGGTCGTATTCACCTGCGAGGACTAGGTCATCTAGTGAGTCCCCAGATAGTAATAACGAAGCCCCCAGGGTCATTAACATCAAAAGGATAAGAAGAACAACTGATAGCCTGACCATCAAAGGAAGAATCAACCAAATGGATGTAACCTGCACCATAGATACCGTTGCATCAGTTTCTCTGGTACGCAGTGACATTCTCCGGCCTGGAAGTATAAAACCAACCACTTCCAACTTTGTTCTTCGTACGGTCACTGGAGAAAATGCACCAATACGAGGGATGGCTGATATTGAGTTGACGCTTGGAAGACTCCATATAATGAACATGGTATACGTCGCAGATATCGAAGATGAGTTTATCCTCGGCATGGATCTGATAAGTGACTACGGGTTTTCATTCGACAGTGATCAGAAGACCATGAAATTTGGAGGAGAAGAGTTTGTACTAACGGCACCGGCCGAGAGGGAGACGTCTGTGAGGCTACGACTAGCGAAGACTGTGAGAATTCCTGGATTCATGGAGAAGATCATCCATGCGCGATTAGAAGAGGACCCTGGGTGCTGCGTTGGATTAGTACAGTCATGTGAGGAATCCCCCAGCAAGCTGTTACTTGCCCGCGCTTTAGTGACCACCGAACGAGACATTCCTGTGAGGGTAGCAAGTGTTTTACCTACCACCATAACAGTAAGAGAAGGAGATATTATCGGAGCTTGTGAACCAGTCAGTTGGGTAGCAAAATGTGATAAGACTAACGAGCAGAGATGGAGGGAACGAGATGACAGTGCATTGAAAGTTCTGGAAACCTCCTTGGACCACTTTTCACCAACAGAATATAAAGCTTCCAAGAAATTCATAGCAGACGAAAGTGATATCTTTGAATCAACATCAACAGGGCGGACGAACTTGGTCAAGCACAGAATAGATACTGGTAAAGCTCACCCAATTCGGCAACCACCAAGAAGAATGCCATTTGCTAAGCAACAGGAGGTGGAACAGCTGGTTGACAAAATGATGAAGGATGGGGTAATTGAAGAATCATCCAGCCCTTGGTCTGCACCGGTTGTATTAGTGTCCAAGAAGGATGGATCCACAAGATTCTGTGTGGATTATAGGAAGCTCAATGACGTCACCAAGAAGGATAGCTACCCGTTACCAAGGATTGATGACACTTTGACTACATTGGCTGGCTCCCGATGGTTTTCGACACTGGACTTGAAGAGCGGATACTGGCAAGTGGGCATTCACGAAGAAGATAAGGAGAAGACTGCTTTTACGACTGGTAATGGACTGTACCAGTTTACTGTGATGCCTTTTGGACTATGTACTGCCCCAGCAACCTTCGAAAGGCTGATGGAATTGGTACTGCGTGGGCTCACTTGGAAAACTTGCCTGGTATATCTGGACGATGTTTTGGTCATGGGAAAGAATTTCGAGGAACACCTGAAGAACTTACGGGAAGTGTTCCAGCGATTCAGGAATGCCAACCTCAAAGTGAACCTGAAGAAATGTTCACTATTCCAGAAACGAGTAGATTTCTTGGGCCACACGGTAACGTCAGAAGGAATACAAACTGACGAGACAAAGATTCAAGCCATTCGAGACTGGCCAAGACCGAAGGACAAACATGAAGTTAGAAGTTTCTTGGGATTGTGCACTTACTACCATCGTTTTGTGGAAGGATTTGCTAATATTGCGGCACCACTCCATAGATTGACAGAAGGCTGGCCTCTGTTCGAGTCCTATTTTGGGGTTCCCACAAGAGAGAGGCTTGTTTATTTTGGACACAGACGCGAGTAACATCGGAATTGGCGCCGTGCTATCACAAGTACAGGATGGTCAAGAAAAGGTTATAGAATACTACAGCAAAGTGATGGCCAAACCAGAAAGGAATTATTGTGTCACCAGGAAAGAACTGCTGGCAATTGTTAAGGCTGTTGACCATTTCCGCAAATACTTATACGGGAGAGAATTTCTCATTAGGACGGATCATGCAGCTTTGAGGTGGCTGATGGAGATGAAGAATCCTGAAGGTCAAATAGCAAGATGGCTGGAAAAGCTGAACCATTATCACTTCAAGATTAAGCATCGCCCAGGAAAACTACACCAGAATGCAGATGCCATGTCCAGAAACCTGTAAGCATTGTCTGCGCATTGAACATCGAGAAGGAACCGCTGATGTTAGAAAAACCAGACTTGTGACCGATGATAAGTGGACAGCAGCACACATGAGACGAGATTGTTGTTTTTTTTTGTTCTAAAATTGTTCTATCCGTCATTCGGTTGCCCCCTTACGAGCAACCCTCAGAAGTCTTCGAAAGTCTTGTGCGAGCAATGAATGACGGGGGCCTTACCTTTTAACGTGTGATCCCAAACACTTTCTTAGGCCATCAGAAAAAGTCTGCGTTCGTGGGTCTCGAACCCACAATCGATACCTCGACGTGAATCGATATTGAAGCATCGAAGCTCTGAGGTACGCCGGATCAGGAGAACGATCCGAATATCGCCGATTTTCTACGTTGGAAAGAAGGAGGAACAGAAAGACCGACATGGAAGGATATCTCGGATAGAGGGCCTGCTTTCAAGGCGATGTGGGCACAATGGGACTCACTAGTTGTGGAGAATGGATTATTGAAGCGAGTTTGGGAATCAGCTGATGGTAGATCAACAATTTCTCAGCTGGTTGTGCCCCACATCAGAGTTAATGAAGTTCTGGAAGAAGTCCATGGCGGAAAATCTGGTGGACATTTTGGAGTTAACAAGACATTGAGTAAAATTCGAGAAAGATTTTACTGGGTTCAATGTCGTGACGACGTGGAAAGTTGGTGTAGAAGATGTCCTGTATGCGAAGCCAGTAAAGGTCCCAGAACGAGATCAAGAGCTGGAATGAAGCAATACAATGTGGGTGCACCGTTTGAAAGGATCGCCATCGATGTAGCCGGACCATTCCCTTTGACTGATGATGGAAATAAATACATCTTGGTTGCTATGGACTACTTCAGTAAGTGGGTAGAAGCATACGGCATGCCAAACCAAGAAGCCTCCACAGTTGCCAGGATATTGGTCGACAACATGTTTTCACGGTTCGGAGTACCAATGGAATTACATTCTGATCAATGGAGAAATTTTG